AATGAGATTTTTTTCCGTGTAAGTTAGAATGCAAAAAAAAAATCGAAAAAGCAAAAATAAAATAAAAAATGTCCAAAAAATAATTGTCAAAGTCACTCAAAATGCTGGAAATCGCATCTCTGGCGTTCTCAATTTCAAAATTTCCCGGGGAGGCATGCCCCCGGACCCCCCTAGAGGTTCGCGCCTTCGGCGCTCGTACATCTGTGACCAACACTAGCTGGTTTGTTTACTAATCTTGATCACACTACTCGATTCAGTTTAAAGTCTGCGTATTACGGTATAAAACGGTCGATCGAACGACAACAGCAACAGTTACCCTGCGAGCAGAGGAATTTCCCTTCTCAAAAGTTAAATGAACCGTCCCTTACAACACCCTAGGTGCAACCATACCATTTCTCCTGATTGTTTTAAAATAATACTAATATGGCACTTCTACATGTAACTATCAATAATTCAAACACTAGGTACATCCGTTGTAAATCAATATTTTTGTACTATATCATTTCTAGACTGAACTAGACGTATAAATAGAAGCTCTTCGAATGTAATCATCTTATACAACTGAAGATGGCATAATGTATGAGTCAATTCCAAAGGTGCCCATTTTTTCCAAAAAGTCAAATGCCCGGGGGTTCGCCCAGGGGGGGGGGGAATGAATGGGCACCTTTGGAATTGACTCATACATAAGGATGCCGAAACATGTCTTGTAGTCATAGACTCAAATCTGTCATCTTAAATTTAGATTAATTAAACTTTTGAACTACATTTTCCCATTTTTAACATACAGCTTTTAATTTTGGGTTCCGATACAAAAAGCCATCCACTCTTATTTTAGTAAAATCTATCTACTTGTCAATAGTTATGATCATTATAATTATGCTAAAAATTTAAAATCCAGTAATACTTACAGTTGACTATTAGTTTTGTTTCCTGTATAATTGCACCCTCGAGTGGGTTGTTTACTGCTTCACACCTGTACTTTTGTCCATTATAATTTCTAGTGATACTTTCAATCTTCAATTCTGCTGATCCCTGTCCTTTTGATATGGCAGGTTCCATACTATTACTGAGGTTCTTCCATGTGACATTAGGTAATGGAGTACCAACTGCTACACAGAGGATGGATAAATGTTTATATTCTGTAATATTTGTTGATCCTGCTGGCTTCTTTGTAAATTTTGGTGTTTCTACAGAAACATATTATAAATATTTACCTTTAAATACCTTTTGAAACACAATAGCCAAGCTCTACAGTTTAGTCGCAATGGGGGGTTCCCAATACTCCAGTTTCGAATTCATAGTGCAAAACCCCTGCTTTATTTGACAACGCAAAGACCTCACAAACACAAAAGAGAGCACGAGAAAATGTCGTTATTACAATAGACTTGAAAATTTGCATTTTCACCGAGTTGAGACTAACCCTGTATTCCCATGAGACCTAAGGTATGAGCCTTCAGGGTTAGCCTCAACTCGGGGAAAATGTAAATTGTTACCGCTATTGTACAAGCAACATTTTCTCTTGCATTCTTTTGTGTTTGGTATGTTCTTTGTGTAAGAGAATCTGCTGTCAAATAAAACAGCGGTTATTCGCTTTGAATTCTAAACTGGAGTATTTGACAAATTTCCCAATTTGGACGTTTGTTCAAAAAGCCATTAATTATAGTGGCCTATAACCATGGCTGTTGTGACACAAATCAATATCATTATTATAATAATAATAAAAACATATTAACCGTAGCCTAATTAACTTAAACGAACCTTTGAATGTTGATTTATCAATAATTTTGCTTCAACTAACACTCACTTCTGTCAATAATATGTAAATGTGTTACTGACAAAAAATAATTCATTTGTTTTTACCACAGTTGTGTAAATGTTTGTGTGCTGATTGTCTGATTAGAGTGTGTCCATAAGAGGACATGCACAAATTTCTACTTCTTCCACCTCTGCTGCAGCTTTTCTCAATGTCAACCAAGGAAGTTAGAAGTACTGGGTCACTATGATCAAACTGGCAATAAAACACCATCTTCCTTCTTTGAAGAAAAAATCTTTTTTTTTTTCCATCCTTTAACACTATGTAGTGTAGAGATTTGCCAATCAAGATCTTCTTCAGATACTGGAGTGGGAAAAACGAAAAAAAAGTATGGATGAAGGGGGAAGATGGTGTTTTATAGCCCATTTGATCAAGTCTGGCCCAGTACATGTAGCTTCCAACATCCTTGGCCAGTTGACATTTGAAAAACATCAGAAGTGGAAGAAAACAAGCTGACAAAGATGACTACATACCAAATAACTTGAAAAATTTTATAAAAGAAATATACTGTAAAACGGCCGCTTGTGTCTCTGTCCTCTGATATAAACACGGTGGGAGTTGAAAAACACTCGAGAAGCAAGAGAAACACTAGCTACGCTCGTGTTTATATCAGAGGACAGAGACACACGCGCTGTTTTATAATTCTTAAATCCAAATACAGTAAATAAAAAAACCGTGTATAAGAACACCTATTTTAGCATTTCAGGCTGATTTGGTTCTTATATAAAGGGTTATAATCTGCGAAATCAGCCTCTAAGTGTTCTTAAAAAAGTTTCTTAAAAAAAGGAACATATTACTTGTTTTAGGGGGTCTTCGATATTTGTCCAAAAAGAAGACCCTTAGTAGCAAAAAAGCCCTTAAATTGGCGATTCTTGTTGTAGTTGATGTGTATTACGTGACACGCTTTGCTCGTACTGAAAGTTAGAAATGATTTTAACATGATTTTAACGTGATTTGAGGGGGGTCTTCGTTTTGGATATTTGGGGGGGTTTTGTCCAAAACGAAGCCCTAGCAAAAAAAGCCCCAAAATTCACTATTTCATGTTTTAGTTGATGTGTATTACACACGCTTTGTTTGTTCTGAAAGTTAGAAATGATTTAAAGGCGATTTTAGAGTGGGGGTCTTTGTTTTGGATATTTGGGGGGGGGTTGTCTAAAGCGAAGAACCCATTAAAAATTCTTGAAACGTTCGTGTTTTGTTGTTAGTTATGTTCTGCGTGACATAACACACTCACTTTTGGAACGATTTTGAATTGATTGTGTTGGGGTCTTCGTTTATGGGTCTTAGGTCTTAGGTCTTCGTTTTATGCCCACTATTAATGTAGCTCGTAGTCCACGAGGCCGAGAGGTCTAATTGTTTTAGTATAAACATACTAATCGGTCAGATAATGAAAACAAATTGAAATATCCTTAAAATGATTTATTAATGAGATTGATTTTCCCGCGAGTGGTCTATCATAAATTAGACCATTAGTAGAATAGCCAATCACAGCGCAGTATGAGTGATAGACCATTAGTATGTTTATACTAATTTATGATATCTTTTATTAATTATTATTATTATCATTATTATTGACTATATCTTGTAAAGCTTTAGCAATAACTATAACAAATAGTTCATGCGAATAAAGCCATTTGAAACTAAACCTACCTGCCTGCCTGCCTGCCTGCCTCCTATCTTTCTATCTATCTAAAAGCATGTCAAGTTATAGATGGATTTATGCATTTTCGATGACAGCATTTTCGATGACACGAACATGTCTTTTAACCAATTTGAATTTATAGTACATGTATCATGATGAAATTTGGTATAGAGTTAAAATAGGCCAAAAAAGACCATTTCTACGCAGCCCGGAGTGGAGGATTATTGCGTCTATCAGCGGCTTTCCCCTGGGGGCGACCCCCGGGGATCCAGGAGGATTTGTCAATATGCTCCATAAAAACTAATGAAATTCCAGTGGGAGAGGGGCAGAACAGGAATGACAAAGGACCTAGGGATTGGAGGGCGGCATCGATTATCGGAAATCAGAAATGAATTTTTGCTGCAACACTCTATTTGAATGCTTTTCGCTACATTTTGTAAATAGTAATACTAGGTCATTTAATTTTTCTTAAAGTATGAACATGAAATTGAAGCTGGAAATGTTTACAAGGAAATCTAAGAAAATRAGGAAAATTATGAAACTCAGAAATAATAGTTTCATTTATGAATTGATACTCTTTAACCAATATACCCCAGGGTAGACCCATAGGTAAAATTCACGATCACAAAAGCAAAATAATCCCCCACCCCCTTGGGCAAAAAAATGCCTTACAATCAATGAAGAACCCCCTCACTTCTCCTGGGTTCCCCTAGGGTCACCCCCATGGGGAAGCCACTGATAGATGCATTATTCTTGACTATTAAATTTCTGTGAAGAAAAATTCAAAATTTTCAATATCTCTTTGTTTTTTTTGCGTTTTTTGCGAGTTTTCACACCTTAACTGAAAAAAAAAAATGGAAAGAAAATTCTTTACACTTCTTAGATATTACAATAGTCCACAAAATGAATACAAATGGAACCATTTTTCAATCAAATGACACCCACTTTATCCATTCCTACCACCTTAAAAAAATGAATTATGTTACCAAGTTCTCATTAGCACCGATGGGCGCCAAAAAAAAAACATCTGGCGGATGCTACGTCACGCTTATTGTAACCAGTCCCCCTATAGGACTCTTGCTATAGAAAACACAGGAACCTATTTTCTGAAGTTTAATTGCCTCAAATACACGCCACTATTTTGATTTTTGAATTTCTTTTCTTCAAACCATATTTAATGATTGGTATACTTTCCTTAGAAAACACAAAAAAAATTCCTTATATGCACTTTAAATAATAATATTATTAGCAGACTTCCAACTGATACATGTATATCAAGCAATGTGTTCCTTTTTAGAAGACATCATTGCATACTAGCCTCAAATCAGGCCCCCTGTGATAGTTCACAGCCACTTGGCAAGCTGTGACTTATTATTAACATTAATATTATATTAAAAATTATTTTAAAATCAATGGTGGTTTTAAAACTAGTCTATATATCAATTCCAAAAAGGGAGGAATGTCCTCCCTTTTTGGAAATACAGACTTGTTTATTTTGCACTTTAAGCATGAATTTGACCATATCATTTTGTTGACTTAGGTGCTTTCTTCTCCATTAAATGACTTTATGATTCACTTGTATGTTTTTTTTTCAAGAAATTTAAGGTAACAGCCCTTACATACAGTAACTGAGTAATACAGCAAGTTAATATATTATTGAGCTACCTTATTTTCACAAACTCCTACAGTACACTGTACAATGATTGACATTCATATTAGGATTCAACATACCTGTGACAATAAGCTGAGATGTACTTGTTGGCATGGATGATAAATCTCCTGACAGTAAAAACAGTATGCACCCATATGTTCCACTGTCTTTCAGCGTGATGTTGGTGATGACCAACGTTGCCTTTCCTTCTACACTTACTCTTACAGTTGGAGTCCTTAGTCTTGATGGACAACTATTGGTATCAATCTTAAACTTACGATTATCAAATGAATCACCATAACCAATGAGAAGGGAACTATTATGAAAGTACCATAATGGTGATCGGGAATTAAACTCTGTTTTGATGTCATCAACATGATAGTCCCATAGAATTTTAGCCGTTTCTCCTTGAACTATGTAGAGCTTATTCTCAGGAAGTAGATTAAATCGAGCGACTCCTAAAAAAATGAATTTAAGCCTATAAGTTTGGGTGAAAAACAAATCAATTCTTTTGGACATGATTTTCTTAAACAATTTACATCAAGATTATTGTATTAGAGTCATGAATCCATGAAGTAGATAAAACAGATTTTTTAGTTAGTAAGAGACCTTTATTTTGCCTTTCTTGTTCCACTGGACTGGGGCATAGTTAATTTACTAGTAACTACATGTATGGCTGGGGATTAAGGTCTGAGGAAAGGCTCCTGACTCAAAAAAATTCTTGACTCTTCTCGTGCTCAGTGGGTTTATTTTGGTAAAAATAACTTGTGTGTGTTATAAATCTTCAAAACATTGTATTTCTATGCCAATGTTAACTAGTCTCTCTAACTCCGCTTTGACGTTGTCTATCTCCTCTATAGGTATCTGTTTGGGAGGACATATCACTGGTTGAGCTCCTTCTTTTAGTGTGAGCTTGACTGTTCCTGGAAGGGATCCTATCTGGTCATCAAAGAGATCTGGGAACTGATCCATGATTTGTTTTCGAAAACTGGCATTGATCGTGTTAACATTCTCGAATTGGTCATAATTCACCGTAATAAGACCCATTCTTTCTGCAGCCTTTCTACTCAGAAGGGGTGTTAGTTCCTCATCAACGACCACAAACTTCAGGCGGTAGTTGTTCTGGGTGCTGGGATTTGTGACTTCAAGCTTTGTAGTCCCAAGTGCCTATTTTCTGTCTTTGTTCCACATCTGAAGTGTAATATTGGCTGGACTAATTGATGCTGTTCCGATCTTGCTGTTTGGTATGATGTTGACAGTTGCACTGCAACTGCACTGCATTTTGACTTTTCTGGACACAATAAACATGTCACACATTATGGTATTTTGGTTTGTCTTATGTCCCACCCCATTAACCAGGTGTTCTAGGGTGAATACTTGTTCAAAATCAGAGTCATAGTCGCAGATTCTCTACAGCGTTTGTTCGCTCCTTTCTTTTACACACCATAGAGCCTCTCCAGTGTTTTTTCTTCACATACACTGCATCGTTTCCCCCATGCGGGACATAGTTCCTTGCTCCTTGCAAAATGCATGAGTGGTGAGGCAAAATTTGCATTTATTTTCTTTCAGACATTTTGATGCTTTAGGTTTTGTTTGGGGCCTAAATCTTGTTGGTTTTTCTTTTGTGTTGTCAACTTTGCATAAAGATGCAAAACTTTCATTAATCTCTCCTAATTAGGTGTTTGCCGACTCAGTAGAGCGACAAATGTCAATACAGTGTTTTAAGTCAAGTTTTCTCTCTTGTAGAAGCCTCCTTCGGGCGTTATCATCTCCGAGGACGATCTGATCCTAGATTAATGAATCACTCATGCACTTGCAAAAATTACATGATTTGGCGAGATTTCGTAACGCCGTGAGGAAGCATTCAAAATTCTCACCTGACTGCTGTGTTTGCCGGTTAAATTGAAATCTTTCATACGTCTCGTTGACTTCGCCAGTGAAGTCTTCATCAAACTTTGAGATCATTGTGGCAATGTCAGAGCGGTCTTTGTCGTCATTGAAGTGGAACAGGTTGTGTATGTCCAAGGCGCTTTGACATATAGTGCATAAAAACATGGCTTTCTTGTATTCCTTGGGCTGGGAAGCCAAGTTGGTGACAATTGTGTAGTTGTCCCACATCTGTTTCCATAATTGCCATGCTTTGGATGGGCTTTTCGAGCTTGAGATGTCTAGATGATTGGGTGGTTTTACACTCACGTGGACTGACGGCGTGTGTGATGATGTGTCTTGTTTAGAGGTTGAAGCTCCCTTATTTGTTTCCTCTGTGTCCTCTGAATTGTCCTTTTACTGGCTGCCACCATGTAACAAGATGTGCTTAAAGCTGGGGCTTAGAATTAGTATTTTAATAATCACAGGATCACTGCTTCACAACATACATGAACCAAACGAGAACTCTGAATAAATTAAATACATATGGCACCTAGTGTCACGCAATAACGTAATGTTGATATTGTCACAAAAGGGATCATTTTCTTCAATTGCAGAGCCATTCTTGGCAGTATTATTACATATACCTGAGAAAAGAAGTTAAGGAAACAGTTACTAATTTACACAGTTAATTACATCAATGTAATTTAGTGATCAGAAATATGAATCAGTGAGGGTAGAGTGTTTATGCTATATCCATCAGAGTGGAATAACTTGCATCAATAATGTACTGCAGATTTCTGATAGTTGTTATTACTTACTCTTTGTGATATTTTAATATTTGCAAATGGAAATGTCTTAGTCAGCTGTTGTATCATTTAAAAGGTTTTTTTCATTATGAATATTAAACCTAATGTAAATAGTTCTTATAATTAGACTCCCTGTTTTGGTTGATATATCCTCAAGAGGTTGATTTAACCCACAAAGGGTTTTATTCAGTTTGTACTTGATTTGTTTTTGGCAGTTATAACTAATTTTTTAGCGTTTTTTTTTTTTTTGTTTGCTTTATCGTCGTCTCTGAATTGAAATTCGTAATTACAATCGCTATCGAGCGTGGATTTATCCTGTTATTCGGACATAAAGATCGGACTTAATTGAGAAAAAAACTTAATAAAACTTTGACCATTTCAGTCAATACTGTAGGATGAAATCTGTGTTAGATAAAGAGAGATAAAGAATATAAAAAACAAAGTTTTCTTTACTTACCAGAGCAAGTTAACCGCGATGAAGGTGAGCACATGGAAAATATCTTGTGTCCTGAGCCAGCGTTTTTCTTTGTCGGCGTCGTTGGCTAGTTGCCATAGCAATGCTACGTCATGGTGGAGACACATGTGATAACTATGCTAACTGCGCATATTCAATCACACGAGATCATACGATTGGATGCTGTTCACATTCCAAAACCCACATCAAAGAACAAGTTCAAAAATCCTTGTATATATACTGTGGTTTTTCATGACAATTGATATTTGATGTGACATGTCTTTGTTGCTGAGAGTGACAATAGGGCAGACATGGTGAATTACAGGGGGAGTCAGTTTGCATGCAGGGGGGGTGCGGTTTGGGTTGTCTGTAGACCTTAAAATCACGTGATAGTGTTACGGACAGACTTACAAACCTGATAACAAAGTGGTTACCCGTCTTATACATGTACTAACCACAAAAATTAATTTAATCGCTCCCTAGGTCAACGAATGGGTGATCCATTAGATTTGAGGGGGTGGAAGGAGGTTGGACGATCCAGTTGGTGCAAGAATTTTTTTCTTTTTTGGACTTCAGCATATGCTTGCAATTTTTTCTTTGTTTGTGAATTTACAAAAGCTTCAGTGGAGATTTTTCAAAATTTTGTCTTGCGGGATTTTTTTTTCAGCCCTTCGTCCGTGCAGGAATTTTTGTTTCAAAAAATTCCCCCACTCAAAATTCTAATGGATCACCGCTAAGTCATTCGGAACTGGCCTGTTAACTTCTATTTGTGGTATCTAACGTTTTCGAAGTTAATGATTCTTTAAAAATTGGCATTTAACTTAACGTGAGTTATTTGCCGTTTAACCTATAAACAAAATGGCGTCAAAACCGTCACTTGATCTATTGAGATACTAACCTGAAGAAAAAGGGCATACAAACATAAGCACAATAGATGAGACGTATAAAAAGAACATTTTCAGAGTTCCCGCTTCCTTTGTACGATAAGAGGAAAGCATTACATTAGCTGTACATTACTTTTTCGACACTTATCGATTTGGAGCGCGAAGTAAATATAACGCTGACCGTAAAGAACGCTGGCCAACAGGTCAATCGAGGACCACGTCGGACCGCTGCGATGTAGTCCCCATTACCGCAAGCCCAACTCAATGCGGACTAGGGATACTGGACTGGTAACGAAATGTACCATGCTTGCAAACGCAGCACAAGCATGGCTCAAATTCTGATGTGGTTCTCCTTATTTGTGCTTTCTCATTGTATCTTTAAAGGTAGAATAGCTTTTCTTTTCTTGAACTTTGTGTAATGATGTATTGAAAAGAATTTGACTTCAATTTTGTCTTCTGGATTTAGTTTTCAGCGTTGTCAGCAGTCCTGGGGAAATAAAAACAGTTGAACATAAAGAAGCGAGATTTTTGTGGAATGCTTCTTCCAGCATTGATGAGGCGAAGTGGGGACTAGTCGACGGGGGTATCGTAGCACCTTTTTTTATAAGAGTAAATAAGAATATAGGAGAACAGAAAAGTGTGGATTTGGATAAGAATACCAGCAAAGCTTTCCATTACAAAAACCGAGTACATTTTATTGGAAACATTAGTCGAGGATGGGCTTGGTTTGTTATCACAAATCTATCAACCGATGACTCCAAAGAGTACGCAGCAGACATTAAAGAATCTACTGGGATTTTTACAGTTTATCGAGTGAGATTGACAGTTTGTAAGTGAAATATTATAAAACCAAAACGTATTGTGATACAGCATGCATCAATGTAGTCTCCTCGCAGCCTTTCTTAGTGGCGGGCTCCCTGTCCCCCGCCCCACAAACGGCTGCTTCAATCCGAGCTTTGATCGTTTCCCTTTGTCTTTTTCCTTCTTGGGGGTCTATTTGAATTAACCAATCACATACCATGACAGTCTACTCCCGCTGTTACCGCTAAGCCAATGAGATGCAGCGTAATGAAAGTTGATATTTTGTTTGCGCCAAACTTTTACTTGTTCTTCCCATAGGCTACCCAACTATTGCTTGAGAGAAAGAAAAGAATGAATGCGCACACTTTTATATTATGTTATCGAATCGGCGCGCGCTGTGGGTTACCTGTGGTATTACCTCTGGTATTACGTCACTATCGCGCGCCTCGCGGGATACAAACTAGTCTGTGACAAGGTATGAAACACTGGTCACGTGATGGACCGATGTGTGCCCCAGGTACAGTGTCTATCCCTCCCTATCGTTTTTTTTCGTATAGACTTCGAGAGCTTTCGTAAACAGTCGTATCGCTCGACATTTTTCCGATGGTCGACCGATAATGTCGCTCCTTTTCGTCGCTCCGTCGCTGCCACATATTCACTGCCATAAACTTGGTTGATCTTTCATTGATTTTTCTCGGGTTTCTTTGTAGTTTTTGTTGGAAACCTACATATCAATGTTTTGAAACTTGAAGCTTCGTGCAAAAGATGGGACTGTGCATTGTAAGGAGCAATTTTTTTAAGAGAAAACATGTTTTTCAAGACACTTGAGTCACCTTGAAAACCGAAGGCGAAGCAGATAGACGTCGTGGATTTTTACAGGTCTTAGAGTTGTTTGTTTATGACATAGATAACTATGTTTATGAGCAGGAATCAAGCTGATGGAGTGAGTAGTTGGAAAAGAGATATTTCTTTACATGTAATGATAGTTTTAGCCAGATTTTTTTGTTGTTAGTGTAAACCAACGGAGAAAGCCGGAAAACTCGAGTGAACAGTAAGCTTACGTTTTACCGTTTGGTTTAGCTATTTATGATGAAG